TTGAGCCCAGGAGTTTGAGGCTGCAGTGAGCTATCATTGCGCCATAGCACGACAGTCTGGGCAACAGAGTGAGACCCTATCTCTTAAAAAGAAAAGGAGGAGGAGGAAGGAAGAGATAATTATAAGATAATTGTGATAAAGTGGTGTGTTGGAGTCAAATGCTAGATTCAGGTTGACATACTACTAAGTACCTTACATGTTATCTCATTTTCTTTTTTCTTTCTTTCTTTTTTTTTTTTTCTGCGACAGTCTTGTTCTATTGCCCAGGCCAGAATGCAGTGGCATGATCCCAGCTCACTGCAACCTCCGCCTCCCAGGTTCAAGCGATTCTCATGCCTCAGCCACCCGAGTAATTGGGACTATAGGTGTGTACCACCACACCTGGCTGATTTTTGTGTTTTTAGTAGAGACACAGTTTCATCATGTGGGCCAGGCTGGCCTCAAGAGATCTACCTGCCTTGGCCTCCCAAGGTGCTGGGATTACAGGTGTGAGCCACCATGCCCAGCCCATTTTCATGATCATCATGTTTAGTGCCAAAGTATTGAACCTTGTGTATTATCATTTTGACTTTTTTAGTTACCTTACAAAATCCATTCATTAGTAACCATGTGGCTTTATAATTTATCCATGTTGCTTTACTTGGTGAGCGGTTTTAAAACTGTTTTATAGCCTTTTTTAGATACAGTGTCATAGGTGGGAAGGGACATTGTTAAGGTAAAGACACTAGTTGTTGGACCTGAGAATACAATTCTTAAATCTTTCCAAGGAGACTAACTGGAGACAAATCTGAAGTCCTAGCTTTTTAGCAAAGTAAGAGCAATCAGTCTCTCTGTCCTTGGTTCAGGATTTTGTCTCAGTCCTTTCCATATCTCTGTTTTTTTGGTTTTTTGTTTTTTGGTCCATTGAGGCATTTTATTTATAAATATTAATATGTATTACATCCCTAGAAAATTAATCCCAGGATTTTCCCATCTGTGTGTTTTCATCTTTCTTTTTCACAGGCCATGATGGCCATGATGCTAGCTGAGGTTGTCAGTACAGTGAAACCAAACTGATGGAATGGGAGCAGATTATTCTGCCATTTTTCTGATCTTCAAGTTGCACATCAGACTGGGGCCATTCATTCCTCACTTGTTTAACCTGCCTGTGAGGTTCACAGCAATTTTCCCAGCTCTGTGATCATCAGTGTTTCAGATTTGCGAACGTAACTATGCTTTGTCATCACAGTTAGAAACCAGATGATGACTTTGGAGCATGGCCTAATAAGAACCTGGCGTTTGCCTCTTTTCGGCATTGGTGATGCTCTTGAGAGCATCAGCCAGGACATTGACGTGCACCATTATGGCAGCACAGAAAGACGGCAGAAGGTGCCATCTCTCTTCTTAAAAATCAGTAAGTTGTGGCCGGGCATGGTGGCTCACACCTGTAATCCCAGCACTTTGGGAGGCTGAGGCGGGCAGATCACGAGGTCAGGAGATCGAGACCATCCTGGCTAAC